GGTTGCACGTCAATTCCCTCAACAACTCTAACCAACGTTTCCTGGCTCTGGTCACATGTTATTTTCATGTCTGTTTTCTCTGCAGGGCAAAACGTGTGCAGTTTTAAGGGATCTGTGGGTGGACAGTTTTTTTCTATGTGACTGTACATGTTAGACACGGATTTCTCGAGCTCTGCCAGGTTTTTCACATGTCTGAGGATCCCTTTCGGATGTCTGTGGGGTTCTGCCCCACAGGGCGGGTTGGATGCTGGTGGCTGTGTCGTAGATGTAGTTTCTCTGGCGTGTGTGACACTGGAAGTACATTTAGCAGCTGGTGGAGAGATGCTGTCTGTGGATGGAATGGAAGTAGAGGAAGGCAGTGGGAAGAGGCGGGGAGCTGGTGGTCTAGGAGGAGGAGGAAGTGATGGTGGAGGAGGTGGTAGAGAAGTAGGGGGTGTAGAAATGGGAAGAGAAAATGTAAGAAGTTGGGGGGGAGGAGGCTTACGGGGAGAAAGGGGAAGAGGAAAAGTAGTAACGGCAATGGGAGGTCGAAGAAAAGGCGGATGTGGAAGGGGAGCAGAGATGCTAGGCGGATGGGGAACGATTTCAAAAGAGTTCCTTTTGGTTTCTGTATCTGATGCACAAGTGGGAGTCTCTCTCTTAGAGCCTAGGGAGTTTAAAACACGAGGTCTCGGAGGAGAAAGTTCCAAGGTGCAGTCAGCGGGAGAAGTGACCACATTAGGTTCTGACCCGAGTTCCACCGCTCTTGAAATTGTTGGCAGAGTTGAGAAAGAAAAGTGGGACCAAGAGGAGGAAAAGGAAGAGCCCGAAGACAGAGATTTCATCTGTTCTGTTTGCTGTACAATTAGGGTGTCTCTGTGTCCCCCTTCTTTCTCTGACCCGTGGGCATCTTCGGTTGTCAGCAGTACGTTGCTGCTACCTCTCTGGCTTGGGTGGCATCTGACGCTTTCGCATTCAGCTCTCTGCCTGGTGATCTGCCACTCCACCAGGTCTATGGTCTCTGGTCTGTTTGGAGCTTTCCACATCAGCCGCCTAGGAAAGCTCACAGACTGATTCCACACCCTCTGAATCTTTTCTCTTGGGCCCCTCAGAGACTGACTCTTAACTTGTGTTCTGGGTGCAAATAGCTCTTCAAAATCTGTTCTTGGCTGAAGGTCTGAGTTTGTTGACCTTTGACCTACACTTTCCATATAAAGGGGATTATGGGTACTTAAGTCATCCTCAGCGGGAAGAAATGAGAATGTCCTTGCTGGGTTAGGCTGGCTGTCCTTAAGTGGTCCCTCTACATGAGCTGGCTCATGAGACTCAGCGGTACTGGAGGAAAAGGCCATCCCATCGTGACGACTGCTCCTGTCTTCTGGGACTGAGTTATTTCCCCTGCTTTGTTCAAAATGGTAGAGAAGGAAAAGACTTGAAAGAGAAGAAGGAGACAAGTTGTGATACAGCTTTCATAAGAAAGGTGTTTTTATGGCTATCATATTTTATATAACAAAGGCCTAACAACACTAACGCACTCACTTACATACAACATGACTTTCAAGAACCTATTCTAGGGAAGACAAGGCAGGGACATCCCGAGCTGTGAGAAGGATGAGGAATTTTCATTAAAATATCAACCTCTAGACTGTCCTGCCCCTCCGTAATTAGTTTGAATCCGCAAAGTATCTGGGTCCATACATAACAGTTTGCTCCTGTATAAGCCTCGGTTTTGGAGAGTGCAGACAGGCACCCCGTTTTGGTTGTGAACCCCCAGTTTTCTATAGGGTGCTCAGAGACCACTGTTATATGCACAGGTCTTGGCAGTATCTCAATCAGAAATTTCCCATTATATCCCATCTCAGTAACTCTGAGAGCTAAAAAAAAAAAAAGTCTCTAATATAAAACCAAATTTGTAAGACAATGCAGAAGGGAGAAAGCCCCCTTCCGGCTTAGAAGAACAAGAGTTTCCAAAGACAGAACGGAAAGCCCTCAGAGAGTTCAAAAATCATAGTTGAGAAATCAACTTCATGCTACAATCCTGCACCAAAATGATTTAAACTCTATGCTTAGTTATTTTAAAATACAGAAAATGCAAACAGACAAGAAGGGGTAAATTTACATTCTCAGCAAATACAATATGGGTCGATCATTAGTCAAAAATTCACTGAATGAAAATATAGATGTTAAAACCAATACCTTTTTGATTTCCTTACATGGTTTGCCAATCCGTGGATACTGAGCAAAGTACCATACAATCTAATTAATGCTAAAAACTTGCAGAGCACAGATCCAGGGCCTCAGCTACAAGCATTGGGACCCTTCCTTCTGCAAGATTAAGTGCCAAATACTTTACATAGTCCCTAATTAGTTTTTTTCCCTTCAAGCTAAAGCATAACAGCAAATTAATCTTGTCAGTTGTTTAATAAAAAATAAAATAGAATTATTTTCAACAATGACAAAAACGGTTATCAAAAAAATGGGGTAATAGGTCAGGCAACGAAATGATATGTAGCTTCGAAATGGGACCACAAAAACAAGCATGCTCAGAAAGGGCTGAGTTATCAGACAACCTGAATAATTTAGAAAGTAGGGACAATATGGTCTTCTATCCTTAGCCTGGAAAGCTATTTTGAAAATACGTCAAATATCATTTCACTTGATATTATATGACCATTAGTTTTGAAAGAAACCATCTATATAATCAAATACATAACTTATGATGGAAAGAACTCTATGTCTGAAGTAAAGATACAGATACTTTTGAAACAGTCTCTAGTGGGCTCCAGTACTATTACATCAGAAGGAAACTAGGCAGGGAGGATGCTATCTCCTTTAAAACATAAACATCATGAAAGATAAGGACCACTGTGCAGACACTAATTCTGCCCAACCTATTATAGCACTGCATCTACTTTCTAACAGCCTTCTATTAGAATGATAGTATTTACTTACTTATGCCTATGTATCCACAGGTGAGAAAGGGCAACCATGTGACAGGGAAGAAAAGTTGTAACTATCATTAATTCCAGACAATCACGTAACACTATCAGACACTTGCTTTAAACAATACGCACATCCAAGAGAGAAGGCGCACGTTCTTAAGTTTTTCTTTCCCTTCATTCATGAGAATAATACCTAAGAATGTTTCAGATAAAATCATGTGGCATTTACTCTCAAGTCTTATTGTGTACAATTTTATCTAACCATCTGTTTGCTGGAGATATATAAAATTTCATCTTTGTGAAGCACGGGCTCTCTTAATCGTGAATGTGTCTTAACTTTGAAAATTGGTTCGTGTGCATCATGTTAGGGAGATGATCCTGGGTTTCAGAAAGAAATACATTAGATACTAGGTATTAGAGAGTGTTAAATCTACATGAAGTTATTAATTGCTTTGTGAAGACTTGGGTTTTTTTTCGAAATTATTTATTTATTTTTCTGTTTAAAAGCACAACTGCTAATAATTCCTTTGGAGCTAGTTTATTTTGTAGCTTACTAGAACCCTTATAAAAACATTTTCAATAAAAAAATGAAGCATTTCTAAAAAGGAGGTAAGGTTCAGATTTAAAATGTTTCAATACATGATTGAAAAATCTTCTTAAAGACCGTTAGTTACAATTTACCCTTATCCAATGCTACTGACTGCAGATTTGCAGATGCTGTTGCATAAATTTGCTTTGTAAAAGCATATATATATATATATGTATATATATATATATATATATGAAATCAGTCATTGTTCTCATATGTGAATACTGCTAACTTCACATAAATGCTTTTTTTTTTTTTAAATCTGAATGTCATTGCTAGGAAGTGCTGCTCAATATAATTGGAGAATCAAATCATATTGGCTCAATTCCTACTTCACCAGTAATTCAATGAGAGCATCATCTGAAGACTGAGAAATGAAAACACGTATTTAAAGAAGGAATTCTGCATGTAAACAGAATGCTGTGCAACTCTGCTTTCACTGAAACTTATATAGGATATATGTTATAGTGTATATTATATATTATAGCTTGCATATATTTATACAACACTAAAATAGCACCCATATAATTTTACAGCTTCATATATAATAATATAAATACTGAATACACTATTCATGCATCTGCCAAAACTGTTTTTTTCCAGTAGAAGCAATTTTCATAATTTTTGAGATGTGCCTTACTCCTATGAGTAAATCCCAGAGAAACATAACAGATACATATTTTTAGTCACTAACAACAAAGTTTCCTGAGATTAGCTCACTTCAAAATTGCTTATCATGTCCTAAAGTAGTTGCTCTTGAAGTTTTATAACAAACACAGATTAAATCAAATCAGACTATGTGGGTTGTATCTTTTGACAGAAACAGTTGTGAAGTGTCAGAAATACATTAACAAGCTCTGTCAAAAATGTATGGCTTAAAGTGGCTTAGAAATTTCACAGTGTAGAGACGTTGACGACAGCAGCCTCCGAGTAGTATAGTTCAGTTCAATGGTAGACTGTTGAGAGCACACTGTGCCTCTTAGTAGGTCAGATTTTATTTTTTTCTTCATATAATATTCTATAATAATATGTTAACGTCTGATTTTAAATCACAGAATTTGATTTTGATTGCCAAATTGGAGGGTTTTTGTTTTGTTTTGTTTTATTTTGTGTTTTTGTTTTTCTTTTATCTCGAATCAGGAGTTGCATTCTTACCATTCGGATTTATTACAATCTCCTACTCCACTGGTTTTTGAAAATCTGTAATTTTGTACAGGAAATTGTCCCAATATCATTAAGATTGGGAGATTAAGTATAGTATCTGAATTCCCTTCTGAAGTTTTGTCTAACATGGATACTGTTTATTTCTCCATTTGTTTCCTTTTTCTTTTTCACTATAGTTTTTCAACTTGAGTTCTCAGCTATTTTAGACTTAATAATAAGGTGACAGGCTGTAACAGGCTTACCGCTGTATTTCTGCATGAGCTTGGAACTAGTTTTGCTCCCAGAATCCACTCCACCCCTCACAGTTGTCCTCCCTTGCTACTCACATGGCACTCTCTCCCAGCTCTTCGTAGAGATGTGCTCCCGGTGGTGGTGGTGGTGGCGGGGGCGGGGGTGCAGCAGGTACAGGAGCTGCAGGCTTGGCTGCAGGCATGGCAGACTGAATTCTTGCGGTCTTCGTGCACTCAGCCTGGCGTCTTGAGTAGAGTAAGGTTGTCTTGTAAGACTCAGTTTGGAAACCACAATCAATAGGCTATTGTTTTAATAACGAGGTTCTGTTATCAGGGGGACCCACTTAAATTATACACAAATATTTGAACTAATAAATTGATACAACAGAAGCATTCTTGTGTTCCAGATGTAAATATTTGCCCCTTGATGAAACAGTAGAATTCACAGACGTATTTACAAATTAATCTCAGTTTTACTAGTAGCCAGGATGCTAATGTTAGAGGTGATCTGTGGTTTTAAATGTCACAGACCGCATTTCATTTTTAAAAATTAAGTTATCAAATTTTAGAAATGATTAGAACATACCTTATCTTTCATATTAATATAATAACAAGTTGACTAGAATCAGCAAAAACATGCACACACCCCATCCCCCCCCCCCGCACACCTGAAAATCTCAAATCCAAATAATTGCTACGAAAATAATACACAGTTCAGTACGGTGTTACAATTTGATGGACATAACCTGTGATTTCTCATTTTCTGTCTCATAAATTCACGTGCAAAAGATTCATAATTATACTTACACTTTAAACCTGTTTTGGAAAGCGGTGTGTAAGAAGAAGAAGAGAAAGTGGCATTAGAAATACTGTACTAATGGCTTTATAACGTGATTTGCTATAAATTATGAGTGGTTTACTGAATAAGCTCATAATGACACAGTTAATGATACGGGGTGGGGGGAAGGAAGGCCTTCAATACGGTGTAGCCCCTTGTCATTACTGGTGCAGACTTATAAGTTACTAAAACATTTACCACAAAGAAATAAATAACTGAACTGAAGGGAGAAAGAAAAACTGCAGTCAAACATGGAGCCGGCAGTTTCAATTCTTTTTTTGTTTTATTTTGTTTTGGTTTTTTCGGTTTTTTTTTGAGACAGGAGTATCAATTCTAATCTGACTATGGGAACTTGAGGATGGCCTGATGCTTGTAAGGGCTTGTTTCTTTACTTGGAGAAATACTGATTTTACTGGTATAAGGATCTGATACACTCCTCTGAGGAACAGCTGAATGAAAATGGAGAAAGAATACCACAGAATAAATGTGGAAATAAATACTAGATTGATGACTTCATGATTGAAAGTGATTTTTTCCAGTGTTATTTGTGAGGAACTTCAGATTAACTATAATAATCCATTTGTTAAAGAAACATTAAGCTTTAAGCTTAACTGTAGCGACCAAAAGTTATGTTCACTACTCCATAGGACCTTTGTGAGGAAAGTATCCATTTTACATCTTCTCACCGAGCACATCTTGAACGTTTCAAGTCAGAATTAACTCACTGGATTCAATTTGAGAGAAAATTGTTTAGAGACTGAAAAGAAGGTTATGATGATGGAGGTTTGATTGTCAGCTTGACACCCATGGGGAGACAGAATCTCACTGGGGAACTGATACTTTCGAACTGGCCTGTGGGTGCTCTGGTTAGGGTTCTCACCCACTTCTTACAAGCTAGCATCAATTGAGAAGAAGGAACTTCAGCTGGGAAGACTCCCCCATCAGATTGCCTGGAAGTAGATCTAGGGGACATTTTCTCGAATAAGGATTGATCTGGGGGAGCCTAGCTCAGGGTGGCCAGTGACATTCCTGAGAATGTGTGTTTGACTGTGTTAGGAAAGACAGCGGAACATGAGCCTGGAAGGAAACAAATATTCAGAGTCCTTCCATTGTCTGTTTCAGTTCCTGCCTCCAGGTTCCTGTCTTGAACTTCAGTCCTGGCTTCCCTTGGTTATTGATTATAACTTGTAAGCCTAATAATCTCTTTCTTCTCCAAGTTGGTTTTGGTCAGTGTTTTATCACAGCAACAGAAAACAAATTAGGACTGACGGGTTTTGGTGTAAGAATACATTAGGGATATCTTAATACTTTTCCCCGTAGGTATTTTAAATAATGAATAGCTTTTCTACCATTATTTCTTACTGTTTGTTATATCAAGCATTTATGAGAGTTACTGGAATTGTTACTTACTTTTTGTGGCACCCTTGGGGCTACTTCTCCTTTTAATAAACTATATTTTTTTAAACAAACATGGCTGCCAATAGGGACACGTTACTAATTTCTCATATCTCATATCAGGCCCGATGCATGCCTTGCTTACTTCAAATTGTAGGTATTAAAATACTTAAATTCCTTCACCACTTCCCAGATGTTAAATAGTTTTGGCACAAGCAGGAAAACATAACGACAGAGTAGTTACACCACTAACATTTTGCAGGCACAAAAGCTACTTTACCAGGCGGCGTCACGAATACCTTCCGGGGAATATCCGCCTAGGGACCTCATACTCACTGTCGGTAGCTCACTAAGACGACCAAGATGGCTGGGATGCAGCAGAGAATGATGATGAAGGCCAAGGCCAGCAAGGCCCCTTCTGTGTACCCCAAGCTTTCTCCTCGCTTCTTGATGCTCGTCACTGCCTCAGGAGTCCGAATCTCTAGAATGCGCCCTCCTTCCCCATAATGCGGCTGGAAGTCTTTATTGATGTCCAACAGTTTGCCGTCCAGGAACCTTTGTTGTATGACAGATTGAAAAACTAATTATGTTAGAAGAGACGGGTCAACTTAAAATTAAAATACATAAGGAAGGGGGAGGGAGAATAGAGTGAGGAACTGTGGGAGGGAGGACTGGGGAGGCAATAGCTCCAATATAGATAAATAACTAATAAAAAACACATCTTTTAGGATTCTGGATTTAAAAGGCAAACTGTGTGTGATGATTAGTATTATTAACTTGAGACCTGGGGAGCAAGCACAGCTGTAAGGGATTGTTTAGGTTAGGGTAAGTCTCGGGGGAATGGCTATAAACTGTTGTGTATTTGGTTTAACGCTTGTAGTATGCTAACTGGGTTCCCAAAATTGCACAAGAATCCACATGGAAGATGGGTCCCTGCCCCCACTTGGTTTTAATTGGTAAATAAAGTTGCCGGCAGCCAATGGGTGGTCAGGAAGACTTTAAGATTCACTGGCAAGGGGACCTAGAGAGGAAGAAGAATTTAGAGCCGCCATGCTGGGAAAGGTGTAGCTGTCAGGCCTGAGAGCTACAGAAAAGAGACCGTAACAGTCACGTAAGAGCCGGGGAAGAGCAGCCCCAGCACCCCCAACCCCAACTCGGTCCAGGACAAGAATGATAGAATATTGATTTTAGTAAGTAATAACTCAGGGATATCAGAGGGGAGGTGTTAGCCACGTGGAAGTTTGGGAGTGAACCAGCCATTAGCTGATTAAGGCATATTAAATACAAGGCTGTGTGTGTGGTGTGTGTGTGTGTGTGTGTGTGTGTGTGTGTGTGTGCGGTGTCTTTCATTCAGGAACCCAGAACATTGGGGAAGACAGTGAGAAACTCATGCCACCATCGCAGGGCAATTTGAACAGGATTAACAACTACAACAGTAAACTACTTACTGTCTTGATTACACTGAGAAGGAAGACCTACCTACTATGGGTTGGTACCATTCTTTGGACTTGCGATCCTGGATCGTATAAAGGGATGATGTGAGCTAAGCACACTTGTTCTGGTTGCCCTCTTTCAACCGTGGATGCCCTTGACAAGTTCTATCCACACCTAGCCTCCATGACTACTCTACCACAGGGGACCATAATCTGGTATTGTAAATAACTTTTCTCCAAGTAAAACTTATCCCCCTTGCTTTTGTCAGAGTTACTGACAGAAACTACAGATGATAATTATACACTGCCTACTCTAAGAAGTAAGAAGGAAAGATGTGAACACCCTTCACAGCAGATAAATGGTAAGGTTTGAGTAGACAGGCTTATTATCATCATGACAGGATACAGGGGAAGAGTGGGAGTGTGGTTTCTATGTATTAGTTAAGCAAAGGGAGACACCAGCTGAGCACGGTGGCACATGCGGCAGTCACTGAGCTGGGGAGGATGAGACAGGATCACCAGTCCCAGCTCTGATTTCCACCAGGCAGTTGATTGCCCTTCCATGTAAGAATCTCAGTGGCCCCAGCAGCCAATAGAATCTACCTGTTTACCTAACTAAAGATTTCCATGTAAAAATATAAGGCAATTAAAATGCTTGTGTCTGTCTCTCCTCTCTGATTCATATATACAATATATATACACATGTATATATCATGTATATAATATATCATATATATTCTTTAAATATCATATATATGTATATACAATGTATATGAATATATATTCAGTATATATCATAAATGCATACATGATATATGCTGAAGATATATTAAGATAAAATACATTAGTATATATTATATATATTAAGATATCTGAATCATATATTAATATATATTAACATATATTAAAATATCTATAACATATATAATATACAGTATATTTCTTATAATGATAATATATATACATATATATATATATATATATATATATATATATATATATTAATGAGGTTCAAACCAAGAGACAGGCATTATGTCCAGGGATCTGGTAATAAATTTGTTAATTATTATTGCTAGTTTTGTTTCCTATTTTTGGAGTAAAGAACACACATAAAAACACAGAGAGAGAGAGAGAGAGAGAACTGGAGGAGATGATATTTGGATTTCAGGTAATAAAAATTGAGAGAATAATCTTATTGTCCATGGCTAGGCATTAAGCAATAATTAGTATACCTTGGTATATTTTGCTAAAGCTGAATTTTCATTCCTCTAGTCTTAATGCTAATATCTGAAGTTTTGGTCTTGGAGTGTGAGTATGTGTGTTTACAAATAAGTCATAAAGTACTTATGAAAAATTCACAGGCTTAAAAGTCTACTGTTTCTCAGATAGTTCAAGAAAATTCTAAATGCCCAATTTTACCTCTTCAAAAAATTATTTTCATATTCTATATTATTTTGTGGTTTGCTCTCAGGTATTTTATCCTAAGTTGTTCATGAAAGCTGTTCAAATTACAGCCCAATCCATTTTGTCTTTACTGCGTGTTTTCTAAAACCTTGTGATTTATTACCAAAATTAAAGCAAAATTATGCAGAACATAAGGAAGCTGGCAGATTAAAAAAAAAATCTAGGTAAAGTTGCATTAAGAACAATTGTCAGAAACAACCGTATGACCCTGTCTTTAAAGTCTGGTTCATGCTCACATGAACTGTGTTTACGTGTACATATCAATGTAATTTCAAATTAAAATGAAGTTTAAGTAAAACGTCTTCCCAACGATCTGCAGGACACTAGGTGTCACTAGAGTCCAGCAAAAAACTAGATGAGGATTTAAGAGAATTAGAATAACAGCCAACGGAACGATGTACTAACATTCTATTCAAGATTTCAGCCTTTCTTCTCTGGTTTTGTTTCTTTTCTTCTTCTCCTGTGCTCCTCTTTCTTGTCCTCTTCCTCCCACTCCCTTCCCCCTCTACCATTTCCCTTCCTCCCTTCCTCCTCCTCCTCCTCCTCCTCCTCCTCCTCCTCCTCCTCCTCCTCTTCCTCCTCTCCTTTTTCCTTCTCATCCCCACATCCCTTTCTTTTTTGCCTTTGGATTCAGCTATCACACAGAATGTAGAACTACATGACAGTGGTTTTTCCTTTACTAAGCTCTTCTGGGTCAGGATGTGAGATGGGTTTGTTCATTTGTTTGTTTTTCCTGGTACTATAGAGTTGTATGGATGAAGGTCCATTCTTCCTAACCTTCAAACCTGCTGAAGTCCTTGAGGCAATCACCCCACTAAGAGTCTATTTCCCTCTTTGGGCCAGCATCCTGCATCAGGAGCGTACAGTTCCTTTGAAGAGATCTCAAAGTGCTGTTTTGGCTCCTGACTTTAGTAGACTCCTGCTGTCCACGAGGTTTCTGACCTCAGTCTAGCCCATGCAGGATTTCAGTTATCCATAAATAACAATCACCCATAGATGCTACTGTTTCTGCATGGAGGTGACGTACAATAAAAACCACTTACTTAAAAAGCTCATTTCTGTCGATGGCTCTGTTGGTCTGAGGGTCGATGGCGTAGACAGTCAGGTCGCACTTGCTATAGTCTTCTAGGGAGAAGGCGTCTCCATGGCGACGGGCACCTATGGACTCTACCACAACCTTGGCACCAGGAATTTGCTCCTGAACATAGCGATCCAAAATCCTAAACATAAAATAACACATAAATATGACATTCTGATGGACTTAGTGGGGGATAAAAATACAATCCTCTAGCTGAAATGACATTTAGTAAATGACGGCTGGTTTTTGCTAATGTTTGCTGGAAAATGTCCGTATGGGTTTTTCAGCGTTCAGTTCTCAATGATGCTAGAAGCTGAGGAAAATGTCAGCTAGAGTGTACAAATGAAGCAGCCTCTTCGTTAGGAACCACAGGACACTGGGTCTCTCCACCCATGTTATTAATGTTATAAATGACACCTCTACAGGAGTGTATGACTCCCAACATGGTGGAGGATTAGGACACCCATTTTCCCAGGGCTATAAAGATCCTCGGAACATGGTCACAATGGAAGAATATAGACAAATTTGGTGAGTTTACAAGATTAAATATTGCATGGAAATCTCGGAAGCTAGCTACGAAAAAGAGAAAAAATTTAAAGATGTGTTATCATCTTATACGGAAAAAGAAATATTTAGTAGAAAAAATAGAAATAATGGTAGCCATTAGATCATTTCCTCGAAGTGCAACTTTTTTCTAGTTCTATAACTTGCATTTAATTGGAAATACCTATTATTAACATTTGTTATTTGTTTTCTATATTCCTATAAATAGAAATTTCTTTAATAACTTTATTATTAAAACATATCATTAAACACTTTTAGAACACATTAGGGTATATATTAAAGACTTATATTTAAATGGAAATGTGTTAACAATAACCATATATGGCAGTTCCTTTTGAGGTCTTGTCTAACTGTGAAGCACAGGTTGACTTAAAGCTCAACCCATAGAACACTGTCTTTTCATGAAGAAATCCTTTTGACCCAAAATATCATCATTCTTACATCTTTTCAACATTTTTCTTCATACTTACTGGCTCCCTTTCATTTTATGTTCTTTTATGTTACCATGAGACACAGAGAGATTAACAAGATTAGCATCTTAGTAAAAGAAATCTGGATCCAGTGTGTGTGTGTGTGTGTATGTGTGTATACACACACATATACATATACACATTATACATATACACATACACATTATACACACACACACACACACACACACACACACACATATATATATATATTTATATATATATATAAATAACATAATGTGACATAATATTGTCTCTGTGCATATTGTCATACTATGAGGCTGTGCAAGTCCCTACGAAATACCCAAAGAAAATACAAGGCAGTAAAATATCTTTTTACTCTTTGTAGAGTTCAGAGAATGATCTACAGCAGTAGCCTTGCTTTTGATTTTGAGTGAGTGCAAACAGCAGACAAAGAGAAGCAACAAAAACATAGGCCAAGTCAAAGATGTGATCTTAGTTAAGGCACAGAGTTAGAAGTCAGGTTTATAGGCACATTCAAGATGAAGTTTAGGGATTATATAACACATGCTATTAAAACTTCTAAGACCAAAATTCAACCTACTTAAATTAGTAGAATTTATTTAAATTGTTGCTCTGCTCATAGCAACATCTATGAGGACCAGATTTAAAGAAAATAATGTTATTTCTAATCAAAAGTTTATCTCCAGTGTTTAGGACTTTTGTCCAAGCTTTATCTAAATATTATACAATGGCTAAAAGTACCAGGACTGGCGTAACTGATCTCCTTCTGGATGTGTGCTTACCACAGATGAGGGTATATTTAATATGGGCACAGGGGTTAAACAGGAAAATAATTTGCCTTCACCCTCTAAGGTTAACTAGATCCCAGGGGACTGGGGTAGCATCTTTAAAATTGTCCTGTAATTCTTGGGAGCCACCTGTGCTCTTGTGCAAGGAATCCACAGAGACTTCACTGGGTAGACTCTAACCAGTGTCTACAGCATAGGAAATTTTCCTCAGTGCTTCCAAGTGAAGCTACAGCCAAGCACGGTCTTTACCTCATTCTCACTCAGATGGAATAACTGTTAAATGGATAACTAAGTGAGTTAGAAGTTCCTTCCAAGCCTGCTGACCCTTGAGGACTAGACACTCAGCTGGCTTTAACAGTTAAAAGAAAAAAAAGATGGTTAAATTTTTTCTAATTTCCTGACCTTAAATACCCAGAAAGAAAGTATAACCAAAGATTAAAATAATTGGTATGTTTCTATAACAGACTTATATCCACTAATGATATTGAGTAAAAGAGTCCCAGATATAAGATGCCATTGGCACTGACTCAATACAACACTGCAGTGCCTCCTTGCTCCCAAGAGAGAGAGGTCCACTGTTATTTTAACTTAAAAAATCAAATGACGATTAAATGTATTCTTTCTTTTCCTCTCTGGAAGCCATCTGGAGGGATCTCACAGTGTGATCCTAGCCATTCCAACGGGTACCAAAGTCTATAAAGCAGATCCTTGGTTCAACACTCTGGAGTAGAGTTCAGCCTTAAACTCTAAAGAAAAACTGAGGGAGAACACCACAGAGGGGTGCTTTGTGAGCTTTTCAAGAGATTCTGGTGGACTTTGATGTGGATGGTTAAAACACATCCTATATCTTGGCCTCTCTGGGTTTCCTGCGTAGGTCTTGCAATGCTAATAACTCTTGTCTTTCCTTGTCCCTCATGTTTCTAATGTAGGCATTCCTCAAGAATTCCTTTCCCTCCCTCAGCTGGTTGTTATACAGATAGAAGCATGATGCACTTTTGAGATCCCCTGGATAGACTTACTAGAGGGGCACCCCAATGACCATGTCTGAAAACCTCACCCAACATTATGAAGTCAACTTTGGTCAGTGTCCTGATTTCCTGAATGGCACCTCTAAATAGAGGAGGATAATAAGGACAGGAGAGGACATAACAGTTTAAGCTTAGGGACCTCAGTTCATGTCCCTGGACATAAGCTGAAAATATCTTTGGTTCTGTCCTGACTAGAGGCCCCAAACTTCCAGAAGTCCAGAGAATAGATAGTCTTGGTGGAGCCCTAACATTTCAGTTGGTCAACAACCTGATTAAGGAATCACTCCTCAGAAAGGTAGCTGCACCTACAGCTATGCTTAAGAGATAGGAGGAATAATTAATATTTTAATGAGGTTATATAAAAGTTCTTTCCCAGAATTCCCCTTCTCTAACACAGTAGCCAAGAGGGCTTTGTAAATCTGCTTCAGAAAACAGTAACTTTTCATTTTTCTTTTCTAAGTGTGTGCTTTCCTTAATGACTCGAGCTTTACTTTTTCTGTGAGGCTTTCCTCCCCCATGTAGCTCCATATTGAGCATGTGGCTGGCATCCACACAGGATTAACTCCAAATCACAAGGCATTTGCCCTTTTCTGTTCCATATTTCTCTTCTAGGAACTTGCTAAGATTTATAGCTTACCCATTCTGCAGTTTTTTTCTTTTTCTTTTTCAACTCAATAAAAGTGTTGATGAGTTCCCTTTGGAGTCCATTTTTAATTTTTTATTAACAAGACTAAGAACGGCAAGAGGGGACCCCAATATCTCTAGTAATGAAGTGATAGTGAAGAATCACTTCTTCCAGGTCTCCTTGATGTTTATACTCACAGTGTGAATCTTCTTGGAGAAACTCACAGCCATACTCAGGGTGTGTTTTTCTATGTGTCCCTCTCTCTTTACATTCACAGTTAAAGTCTACATTAGAACACCAACTGTATTTCATTAAACAGATCTTCAATACACAATCCGTGCAAGCCAGGCATGGCCACACATGCTTGTAATCCCGGGATTTGGGAAGTAGAGGCAGGGGGATCAGAGGCTCAGGGTCATCACAGACAATTTGGTCTAGATGAGAACTGTTTCAGGACAGACAGACAGACAGACAGAGAGAGGGAGGGAGGGAGGGAGGGAGGGAGGGAGGGAGAGGGAGAGAGAGAGAGAGAGAGAGAGAGAGAGAGAGAGAGAGAGAGAGAGAATGAGAATGAATGCAGCCCACGCTTCCTTGAATTGATCTCAGTAGTGCTGGGATTATTGGTGTGTGCTAACATCCTGGTTAAATTTATCTGTAGATTAAATGCTCCTTCTGGGATACATCTCTGAAGAATTTGAGAGAGAGCAACATATTTAAAAATGTTGGGACATTTAGAAATAACGTTGTTTCAAATATCAAGCTGACCCACTTTCTGCTCTATTGAAAAATGCATTGCCTTAAGAATCCAGCCTGCGCTATATTTTTGCCCTTATTACAAGAAAAATTGCAATCTTAACTTGGGAAGAAATTTGTATAACAGTGTGTACTAGGAGATACTGCCAATTATAGTGAAATGTTTTGTTTGCTTGATTGATCTCTAACTTTTCTTGGCCAGACACTGGAAGCCTGTCTCATTAAAGAACGGTTCTCTTTCACAGCTGTCTCAGTCATTGCTTTCTTTACTTCTCAGGTTCTTCCTAGTGAGACTCCCTCAAAAGCCTCCCAACATGGAGGACTCATGGAGAAGAGAAAGTCGATTTCTAAACACTGTGAATGCATGACTGCAGTGTCCATGGATGGAGAGGGAAAGGAGCCTAGATTCATAGTTTAGGATTTTCTTTCTCCCTGAGAGAATTATGCTCACAATAATGATAAAATCTCAATGGTCACATAAAACACACGAGATGTGAGAGGGGCCTCTATGTCAAATCACATTATAATTTTGACATTTTGTAAGTAGAGATGGCAGAGGTACAGTAGGCACAGAATTCAGAGGTTTGGCTTCAGTCTTCCACTCTTTTACATATCAGCTGCATAATATTGGATTGGTGATTATAAGTTTACAGAGTTTCAAGTTCTTTATATAAGTTAATAAAATATATTTAAAATAATATAAGAGAAAAACACTACCTGCATGGAATGGTGTGTGTTACTATCAAAACAGACTAAAACTCCCACCACCCCAGTTTTTACTGGACAGTGTTCCACAAGATTTGATTGAAGTCAAACATCTGTATTTGGAAGCCTCTAGCTCTGATACAATTCAAGATATTTAATTAATTTGTGGGATTATTAAAAGAAAAACTCTACACTTCTCACTGGCACTGTTAATTTAAGAATCA